AGAATTCCTGAAAACGTCTGGGAATTTGGGATAAAACTTTGGGATTTGGGGGGTTTTATTTGGGATGGAAACGGTGAAATCTGGGAAAAAATCTGGGAATTTTGGGGTGAAAGTTTGGGATTTGGGGGTTTTTTTGGGTCAAAATGATGAAATTCGGGGAAAAAACTGGGAATTTTGGGGTTTTGGGGATCAGGATTCCAGAATTCCTGGAAAAATCTGGGAATTTTGAGGAATTTTGGGATAAAAGTTTGAGATTTGAGAGTTTTGGGGATCCAAGAGGTCCTGGATGTTCCCACCATGAAGTTCCTGATGGTCCCACCATGAGGTCCTGGTTGGTTCCACCATGGAGCTGTGGTTGGTTCCACCATGAGGCCCTGGTTGGTCCCATCACGAGGTTCTGGATGGTTCCACCACGAGGCCCTGGTTGGTCCCATGACAAGGTCCCGGTTGGTCCCACCATGATGTTCTGGATGGTCCCACCACGAGGTTCTGGTTGGTCCCACCATGAGGTCCTGCTTGGCCCCACCAATGAGCTGTGGTTGGCTCCAGCACCAGGTCCTGGTTGGTCCCACCATGAGGTCCCAGGTGGTCCCCCCACGAGGTTCTGGTTGGTTCCACCACGAGGTTCTGGTTGGTCCCACCATGAGGTTCTGGTTGGTCCCACCATGAGGTCCTGGTTGGTTCCACCATGAGGTCCTGGTTGGTCCCACCATGAGGTCCTGGTTGGTCCCACCATGGAGCTGTGGTTGGCTCCAGCGCCAGGCCCTGGTTGGTCCCACCACGAAGCCCTGGTTGGTCCCACCATGATGTTCTGGATGGTCCCACCACGAGGTTCTGGTTGGTTCCACCATGAGGTCCTGCTTGGCCCCACCAATGAGCTGTGGTTGGCTCCAGCACCAGGTCCTGGTTGGTCCCACCATGAGGTCCCAGGTGGTCCCACCATGAGGTCCTGGTTGGTCTCATGACAAGGTCCCGGTTGGTCCCACCATGATGTTCTGTTTGGTCCCACCATGAGGTCCCAGGTGGTCCCACCACGAGGTCCTGGTTGGTCCCACCATGAGGTCCCGGTTGGTCCCACCATGAGGTCCTGGTTGGTCCCACCATGGAGCTGTGGTTGGCTCCAGCACCAGGTCCTGGTTGGTTCCACCACAAAGCCCTGGTTGGTCCCACCATGAGGTCCTGGTTGGTCCCACCACGAGGTTCTGGTTGGTTCCACCACGAGGTTCTGGTGGTCCCACCATGAGGTCCTCGTTGGTCCCACCATGGAGCTGTGGTTGGTTCCACCATGAGGGCCTGGTTGGTCCCATGACAAGGTCCCGGTTGGTCCCACCATGATGTTCTGTTTGGTCCCACCATGAGGTCCCAGGTGGTCCCACCAATGAGCTGTGGTTGGTTCCACCATGATGTTCTGGATGGTCCCACCATGAGGTTCTGGTTGGTCCCACCATGGAGCTGTGGTTGGTCCCATGACAAGGTCCCGTTTGGTCCCACCATGAGGTCCTGGTTGGTTCCACCAATGAGCTGTAGTTGGCTCCAGCACCAGGTTCTGGTTGGTCCCACCACGAAGCCCTGGTTGGTCCCACCATGATGTTCTGGCTGGCCCCACCATGGAGCTGTGGTTGGCTCCAGTGCCAGGTCCTGGTTGGTCCCACCATGATGTTCTGTTGGTTCCACCATGGAGCTGTGGTTGGTTCCACCATGAGGTCCTGGTTGGTCCCATCACGAGGCCCTGGTTGGTCCCACCATGGAGCTGTGGTTGGTCCCACCATGAGGTCCCAGGTGGTCCCACCATGAGGTCCCAGGTGGTCCCACCATGAGGTTCTGGTTGGTCCCACCATGAGGTCCTGGTTGGTCCCACCACGAGGCCCTGGTTGGCCCCACCATGGAGCTGTGGTTGGCTCCAGCAGGAGATGCCGGTCGGTCCCACCACAGGGTCGTTCCCACCACCAGGAGATGCCACAGGGTCGTTCCCAGGCCCCAATCCCACCATTCCCGGGGAAAAGAACATTCCCAGGGGTGGGGGGAGGGGATCTCAGGAACCCCGAGAATTCCCGAGAGAGATCCAGGACAGAGAATTCCCAAAATCCGGGATGGAGAATTCCCAAGATAGATCCGGGATGGAGAATTCCCAAGGTCCAGGATGGAGAATTCCCAAGAGATGTGGGATGGAGAATTCCCAAGGTCCAGGATGGAGAATTCCCAAGAGAGATCCAAGACAGAGAATTCCTGAGATCCAGGATGGGGAATTTCTGAGATCCAGGTTGGAGAATTCCCAAAATCCGGGATTGAGCATTCCCGAGATCTGGGATAGAGAATTCCCGAGAGATCTGGGATGGAGAATTCCCGAGATCTGGGATCGAGCATTCCCGAGATCCAGGATGGGGAATTTCCAAAATCCGGGATGGAGAATTCCCGAGAGATCCAGGATAGAGAATTCCCAAGGTCCAGGATAGAGAATTCCCGAAATCTGGGATAGAGAATTCCCGAGAGATCCGGGACGGAGAATTCCCAAAATCCGAGATGGAGAATTCCCAAGGTCCAGGATGGAGAATTCCCAAAATCCAGGATGGAGAATTCCCAAGAGTCCAGGATAGAGAATTCCCGAAATCCGGGATGAAGAATTCCCGAGGTCCAGGATAGAGAATTCCCGAAATCCGGGACGGAGAATTCCCAAGGTCCAGGACGGAGAATTCCCGAGGTCCAGGATAGAGAATTCCCAAAATCCGGGATGGAGAATTCCCAAGGTCCAGGACGGAGAATTCCCGAAATCCGGGATGGAGAATTCCCGAGGTCCAGGACGGAGAATTCCCAAAATCTGGGATGGAGAATTCCCGAGGTCCAGGATGGAGAATTCCAACGGGGATTTTGTCTTTCCCCTCCCCCCAGGATTCCGGACGTGCATCCTCACCAATTCCTTCCTGGACGACTCCGGATCCGGGAATTTCCCTCCGGCCGCGCTCCGGAGCCAGTTCCAGCTGCTGCTGGAATCCTGCCGGATCGGGATGAGCAAACCGGATCCCGGGATTTACCGCCACGCCCTGGAGCAGCTCCAGGCCCAGCCGCGGGAGGTGCCGGAATTCCCATCCCAAAAAAATCCTGGGAATTTGGGGGTGTTTGGGTCTCGAATCCCTTGGATTTTCCTGGGAACGGGAAGCCACAGGAGATGCCATAATTCCAAAAAAAAAAAAAAAAAGTGGGAATTCAGAGGTTTTTCAGGATCCCAAATCCTTGGATGTTCCTGGGAATGGGAAGCCTTGGCAAGTGCCACGATCCCCCAAAAAAATCCTGGGAATTTTGGGTTTTTTTTGGGATCCCGAATCCTTGGATGAATCCTTGGATGTTCCTGGGAATGGGAAGCCTCGGGAAGTGCCACAATCCCCAAAAAAATCCTGGGAACTTGGGGTTTTTTGGGGTCCCAAATCCTTGGATGAATCCTTGGATGTTCCCGGGGATTTGAAGCTTCAGGAGACACCAAAATCCCCCCAAAAAGTGGGAATTTGGGGGGGTTTTGGGATCCCAAATCCTTGGATCAATCTTTGGATGTTCCCGGGGATTTGAAACCTCGGGAGACACCAAAATCCCAAAAAAACCTGGGAATTCAGGGGTTTTCCAATCCCACAAATCCCTGGATGAGTCCTTGGATATTCCTGGGGATTTGAAGCCTCAGGAGATGCCAAAATCCCAAAAAAACCCTGGGAATTCTGGGATTTTCCAATCCCACAAATCCCTGGATGAATCCTTAGATTTTTCTGGGAATGGGAAGCCTCGGGAGACACCAAAATCCCCCCCAAAAAAATCCTGGGAATTTGGGGGTTTTTTGGGAGCTCGAATCCTTGGATATTTCTGGGAATGGGAAGTCTCAGAAAGTGCCACGATCCCCAAAAAAAAATCCTGGGAATTCAGGATTTTTTGGGATCCCGAATCCTTGGATGTTCCTGGGAATGGGAAGCCTCGGGAGACACCAAAATCCAAAAAAATCCTGGGAATTTGGGGAGTTTTTGGGATCCCAAATCCTTGGATGTTCCTGGGAATGGGAAGCCTCGGGAAGTGCCACAATCCCCCAAAAAAATCCTGGGAATTTGGGGGTTTTTGGGATCCCAAATCATTGGATGTTCCTGGGAATGGGAAGGCTCAGGAGACACCAAAATCCCCCCCCAAAAAAGTGGGAATTCGGGGATTTTCCAATCCCACAAATCTTTGGATGTTCCCAGGGATTTGAAGCCTCAGGAGGTGCCAAAATCCCAAAAAAACCCTGGGAATTCTGGGATTTTCCAATCCCACAAATCCCTGGATGAATCCTTAGATTTTTCTGGGAATGGGAAGCCTCGGGAGACACCAAAATCCCCCCCAAAAAAATCCTGGGAATTTGGGGTTTTTTTTGGAGCTTGAATCCTTGGATATTTCTGGGAATGGGAAGTCTCAGAAAGTGCCACGATCCCCCCAAAAAAATCCTGGGAATTCAGGATTTTTTGGGATCCCGAATCCTTGGATTTTCTTGGGAATGGGAAGCCTCGGGAGACACCAGAATCCAAAATAATCCTGGGAATTTGGGGGGTTTTTGGGATCCCAAATCCTTGGATTTTCCTGGGAATGGGAAGCCACAGGAGATGCCATAATTCCAAAAAAAAAAAAAAAG